CAACCAGCAACACCTGCCACCACCACCACCATCGTACATACACAACCAGCAACACTGCCACCACCACCACCATCGTTCATACACAACCAGCAACACCTGCCACCACCACCACCATCGTTCATTACAAACCAGCAACACCTGCCGCCACCACCACACCATCGTTCATACACAACCAGCAAACACCTGCCTCCACCACACCCTCGTTCATACACAACCAGCAACACCTGCTACCACCACCATCGTACATACACAACCAGCAACACCTGCCACCACCACACCATCGTTCATACACAACCAGCAATACCTGCCAACACCACCATCGTTCATACACAACCAGTAACACTGCCACCACCACCATCGTTCATACACAACCAGCAACACCTGCCACCACCACCACCATCGTTCATACACAACCAGCAACACCTGCCACCGCCACCACCATCGTTCATACACAACCAGCAACATCTGCCATCACCACCACCATCGTTCATACACAAACAGCAACACCTGCCACCACCACCACCATCGTACATACACAACAGCAACACTGCCACCACACCACCATCGTTCATTACACAACCAGCAACACCTGCCACCACACCACATCGTTCATACACAACCAGCAACACCTGCCACCACCACCACCATCGTTCATACAACCAGCAACACCTGCCACCACTACCACATCGTACATACAACAACCAGCAACACCTGCCACCACCACCACCATCGTACATACACAACCAGCAACACCTGCCACCACTACCACCATCAGTACATACACAACCAGCAACACCTGCCACCACACCACCATCGTCATACACACAGCAACACCTGCCACCACCACCACCATCGTTCATACACAACCAATCAACACCTGCACCACCACCACCATCGTTCATTACACAACCAAACACCTGCACACACACTGTAATCACAACCAGCAACACTGCCCTCACACATCGTACTACACAACCAGCAACACCTGCCACCACCACCACCATCGTTCATACACAACCAGCAACACCTGCCACCACCACCATCGTTTACACAACAGCAACACTGCCACCAGCACACCATCGTTCATACACAACCAGCAACACTAACCACCACCATCGTACATACACAACCAGCAACACTGCACCACCACCACACATCGTTCATACACAACCAGCAACACCTGCCACCACCACCACCATCGTTCATTACACAACCAGCAACACTTCCTACCACCACCATCGTTCATACACAACCAGCAACACCTGCCACCACCACCACCTCGTTCATACACAACCAGCAACACCTGCACCCTACCACCACCATCGTTCATATCACAACCAGCAACACCTGCCACCACACCACCTCGTCATACACAACCAGCAACACCTGCCACCACCACCACATCGTTACATTACACAACCAGCAACACCTGCCACCACACCACATCGTACATACACAACAGCAACACTCTACCACCACCACTCGTACATACACAACCAGCAAACACCTGCCACACTCACCACACATCGTTCATACACAACCAGCACACCTGCCACCACCACCACCATCGTTCATACAAACCAGCAACACCTGCCCACCACCACCATCGTTCATAAACAACAGCAACACCTGCCACACTCCACACATCGTACATTACACAACTCAGCAAACACTGCCACCACCACACCACCACATCGTACATACACACAACAGCATACACCTGCCACCACTACCACCATAGTACATACACAACGCAACACTGCCACCACCACCACCATCGTCATACACAGCCAGCAACACCTGCACCACCCCCACCATCGTTCATACACAACCAAACAACACCTTTCCACCACACCATCGTTCATACACAACCAAAAACACCTGCCACCACCATCATCGTACATACACAACCAGCAAACACCTGCACCACCACCCATCGTACATACACAACCAGCAACACCCGCCACCACCACCACCATCGTTCAATACACACAGCAACACCTGCCAAACCCCCACCATCGTTCATACACAACCAGCAACACCTGCCACCAGCACCACCATCGTTCATACACAACAGCAAACACCTAACACCACCATCGTACATACAAACCAGCAACACTGCCACCACCACCACCATCGTTCATACACAACCCGCAACACCTGCCACCCCCACACACATCGTTCATACACAACCAGCAAACACTTCCACCACCACCATCGTTCATACACAACCAGCAACACCTGCCACATCCACACCATCGTTCATACACAACAGCAACACCTGCCACACTACCACCCATCGTTCATACACAACCAGCAACACTGCCACCCCACCCCCATGTTTCTACACAACAGCAACACCCGCCACCACCACCACCATCGTTCATACACAACCAGCAACACCTGCCACCACCACCACCATCGTACATACACAACCAGCAACACCTACCACCACCATCGTACATACACAACCAGCAACACTGCCACCACCACCACCATCGTTCATACACAACCAGCAACACCTGCCACCTCCACCACCATCTTCATACACAACCAGCAACACCTGCCACCACCACCATCGTACATACACAACCAGCAATGACCACCTCACCACCCCCCATCGTTCATACACTACCAGCAACACCTGCTACCACCCCACCACCATCGTTCATACACAACCAGCATCACACTGCCACCACCACCACCATCGTTCATACACAACCAGCAACACCTGCTACCACCACCACCATCGTTGATACACAACCAGCAACACCTGCCACCACCACCACCACCATCGTACATACAGAACCAGCAACACCTGCCACCACTACTACCATCGTACATACACAACCAGCAACACGTGCCACCATCAACGTACATATACATCCAGCAACACCTGCCACCACCATCGTCCATAAACAACCAACAACATCTGCCAGCCCCACCATCGTACATATACAACCAACAACACCTGCCGCCACCACCACCATCGTACATACATAACCATTAACACCTGTCACTAACAACATTGGTTCGTCATCCTCACATACTGTAATACTATGGAGGTGTTGCCAGTACCTGCTGTGTTCAGTTCATCCTTCAAGAACAATTAACATGGAGTCTCTGTGTCAGACAGATGGTTCTAATGCATTACACAAATAACTCTTCTTTAAGCAACAACAATTATTGCTAACACACGTTATACCACACATTATATCTTCACTATGTTATCTTACTGATAAAAGAAACGCCTGTGCAAGATTTGGCTATTTTTCTTCTGGAAACACATCGCCAGCAAGTGGCTGCCTTAATCCAATGTTGAAAAAGGCTTTCCAAACCATTTATTGAAATTATCTTCCCCTCACACTTATCATTTTTCAATTATTATTTTCTTTACCAACCATAAATATAGAGGTTGATCTTGTTATCATTGATCAGTCAGTGTTTCAGGCTCGAGTCCTCACTTCAAATTAATGTTTTATTTAACCATATATATTGTATATGTCTTGATTATACTCGAAAAATTTTAATTTCCATAACATGTTCAAAACATGGTCAAAGAAAAAAATTAGCCTATTATAGAGTGACTTCATAGGTTCTAGCCTCCAGACTTCATCATGTTTACTCTTCAAACTGTGTGCGCAATTTCCTTCCAATATTTCTTGTAACTCTTATAACTTTTTGGCTTCTTCTGGACTAAGTAAGTCTGCCGCTACCATTCACGTGACTGATCCGTGTTTTAACTTCACCTGTGTGTGTTCTGCTTTCCGTTCCTATCACTCTTAAGTCTTTCACAATCCACCTTATCAGTGCATTTATTATCCTTAACGTAGTTATTATATCTCCTTTACTTTCTTGCTCATCTAAAGATGCTGGGTTTAGTTCCTTTAACCTCTCTACATTCCTTCAGTTAAGAATCACAAGTCAGGGTTGCTCAGCAAGTTTGAGAAACTCTTTTACACTGACCTGTCATACATGATGTCATCTGTTGGCAATAAAAATCGATAACCAAAATATAGCCATTTTTCATGTAAACAAACCATTAGATGCAAGTTCTCATTATTCCCACTATGGGTTTGACTTGTTGATTCTGAACACAACAGCTGCCAACTCCACTGTACAGTTTTGGTTGTTCTTTAATGGAAGAACCGTGTATATCTTCAATGGGATTCACTTGCTGACCATGAGCTTCTCTGACTCCACAATCCACGACACTTCCTCTGCATTTCTCCAACAATTTAAAGGTCAAGTAATCCAAATACAACACTGCCTCGGATTTAAAAAAAAAAGAAAAAAATACGTCCTAAACATTATTTTGTTCCGTGATTTCAATTTTGAGACCCAAGAGGAAAGAATGCATCAAACACTGGTGACCAAGAACTTCAAGGAGATAGTGTATATCACGACTCACAATTAAGAATAATAACTCATCACGACTCACGTAATCATAATAACACGAGTGCAAACAAACCACGGAACGGGTGTATAAATATACCTAGATGGATGAATCTTATTATAGCCAGCTGGCCCAATGCCTGGCCTGGAGTTTTGTCACTCACTCGCCATGGGTTCTAACCCCACCCGTACCGTGATTTGTAAGACTGATAAGTTGGCCTTAAAGGAACAGTGAGACTCGTGTGTAATATAGTGGTTCTGTCTACTGCATCTAGAGAAGAGGCTGAGCGGAAGTTATCTGCAGCATGAAGATTAACACATGTTTAACAGTTAGGCATCTTTTCTGAGATAACGTTTCGTCTACACAGTAGATTTCTTCAATCAAATAAAAAGAGAGCAGTAGTCATGAAATAAAGATGATGTAATCAGTCCATCAACCTTGGAGAAAAAGTATTTCAGGTAGTCAGTCCCTCAGCCTCAGGCTAAAGGTCTTGACTGAAGAAGTCTACTGAGTAGCGAAACGTTTCATCAATAAAGATACCTAACTGTTGCACATGTGTCTTAATCTTCAACTTGCCGGTATTTTATACCATTTTCAACAATACCTGCAGGATGCGCTGTTGGAACGACGAGTCTGGAACGACTGCCTCATTAGCCATGTCTGAGGCGAGGTCCCCCGTGGAGCAGGGAGGCAGGTGTGGGGATCCCAGGTGTGGTGACCCCAGGTGTGGCGACCCTAGGTGTGGTGACCCCAGTGGTGGGCTGCTCACCTCTGCAACACAACACAAACACAATCAATAGTTCATCTTATACTACATCAATCGCATCTGCTAGAAAAATGACAGGATGGATAATGAGAACCTTCAAAACTAGGGATGCCAAGCCCATGATGACACTCTTCAGGTCACTTGTTCTATCTAGGCTGGAATATTGCTGCACACTAACAGCACCTTTCAAGGCAGGTGAAATTGCTGACCTAGAAAATGTACAGAGAACTTTCACGGCGCGCATAACGGAGATAAAACACCTCAATTATTGGGAGCGCTTGAGGTTCCTAAACCTGTATTCCCTGGAACGCAGGAGGGAGAGATACTTGATTATATACACCTGGAAAATCCTAGAGGGACTAGTACCGAACTTGCACACGAAAATCACTCACTACGAAAGCAAAAGACTTGGCAGACGATGCAACATCCCCCCAATGAAAAGCAGGGGTGTCACTAGCACGTTAAGAGACCATACAATAAGTGTCAGGGCCCGGGGAACTGTTCAACTGCCTTCCCGGGCATACTTTAAGGGGGATTACCAACAGACCCCTGGCAGTCTTCAAGCTGGCACTGGACAAGCACCTAAAGTCGGTTCCTGATCAGCCGGGCTGTGGCTCGTACGTTGGTTTGCGTGCAGCCAGCAGCAACAGCCTGGTTGATCAGGCTCTGATCCACCAGGAGGCATGGTCACAGACCGGGCCGCGGGGGCGTTGACCCCCGGAACTCTCTCCAGGTAAACTCCAGGTAAACAACACAACACAAACACAATCATCAGCTCAACTTATACCGCAACACAACACAAACACAATCAACGGTTCACCTTATACCGCAACACAACACAAACACAATCAACGGTTCACCTTATACTGCAACACAACACAAACACAATCAACGGTTCACCTTATACCGCAACACAACACAAACACAATCAACAGTTCACCTTATACTGCAACACAACACAAACACAATCAACAGTTCACCTTATACCGCAACACAACACAAAACACAATCAACGGTTCACCTTATACCGAAAACACAACACAAACACAATCAACAGTTCACCTTATACCGCAACACAACACAAACACAATCAACGGTTCACCTTATACCGCAACACAACCAAAACACAATCAACAGTTCACCTTATACCGAAAACACAACACAAACACAATCAACAGTTCACCTTATCCCGCAACAAAACACAAACACAATCAACGGTTCACCTTATACCGCAACACAACACAAACACAATCAACAGTTCACCTTATACCGCAACACAAACAAACACAATCAACAGTTCACCTTATACTGCAACACAACACAAACACAATCAACGGTTCACCTTATACTGCAACACAACACAAACACAATCAACGGTTCACCTTATACTGCAACACAACACAAACACAATCAACGTTCACCTTATACTGCAACACAACACAAAAACAATCAACAGTTCACCTTATACTGCAACACAACACAAACACAATCAACAGTTCACCTTATACTGCAACACAACACAAACACAATCAACAGTTCACCTTATACTAAATCCTCAGCTGCTAGAACTCAACCATTTTCACTCACAAGAACATACTGCATAAAACACAAGGCAACAAAGGTATCTAAGAAGCGTACTGAGAAAAATATATAAAAAAAACATAAAAAGATACAATTATAACTGACCCATCTTGTCTTGGTGTTCGGTGCTGCCAGAATATAAAGGCAATGTTTTAAAACCTTTCAACTTGTTATATTAATCCATCTCTTGTTTCCCGTCATCAGTCATCACAAGACCACACTCACCACCAGTCATCACAAGACCACACTCACCACCAGTCATCACAAGACCACACTCACCACCAGTCATCACAAGACCACACTCACCTCCAGTCATCACAAGACCACACTCACCACCAGTCATCACAAGACCACACTCACCACCAGTCATCACAAGACCACACTCACCACCAGTCATCACAAGACCACACTCCCACCAGTCATCACAAGACCACCACTCACCACCAGTCTTTCAAAAGACCACACTCACCTCCAGCCCTTCACAAGACCACACTACCTCCAGTCTTCACAAAAACCCACACTCGCCCCCCAGTCATCACAAGCCACACTCACCTCCAGTCTTCACAAGACCACACTCCCCTCCAGTCTTCACAAGACCACACTCACCTCCAGTCTTAACCAAGACCACACTCGCCTCCAGTCATCACAAGACCACACTCACCTCCAGTCTTCACAAGACCACACTCACCTCCAGTCTTCACAAGACCACACTCCCTCCAGTCATCACAAAGACCACACTCACCTCCAGTCATCACAAGACCCCCACTCACCCCCAGTCATCACAAGACCACACCACCTCCAGTCATCACAAGACCACACTCACCTCCAGTCATCACAAGACCACACTCACCTCCAGTCATCACAAGACCCACTCACCTCCAGTCATCACAAGACCACACTCACCTCCAGTTTAAACAAGACCACACTCGCCTCCAGTCATCACAAGACCACCCCTCACCTCCAGTTTCACAAGACCACACTCACCTCCAGTCATCACAAGACCACACTCCCCCTCCAGTCATCACAAGACCACACTCACCTCCAGTCATCACAAGACCACACTCACCTCCAGTCATTACAAGACCACACTCACCTCCAGTCATCACAAAAACCCACTCACCTCCAGTCATCACAAGACCACACTCACCTCCAGTCATCACAAGACCACACTCACCTCCAGTCTTCAAAAGGGACCACACTCACCTCCAGTCATCACAAGACCACACTCACCTCCAGTCATCACAATACACCTCACCTCCATTCATCACAAGACCACACTCACCTCCAGTCATCACAAGACCACACTCACCTCCAGTCATCACAAGACCACACTCCCCCCAGTCTTCACAAGACCACACTCACCTCCAGTCATCACAAGACCACACTACCTCCAGTCTTCACAAGACCACACTCACCTCCAGTCATCACAAGACCACACTCACCTCCAGTCTTCACAAGACCACACTCACCTCCAGTCATCACAAGACCACACTCACCTCCAGTCTTCACAAGACCACACTCACCTCCAGTCTTCACAAGACCACACTCACCTCCAGTCATCACAAGACCACACTCACCTCCAGTCATCACAAAGACCACACTCACCTCCAGTCTTCACAAGACCACACTCACCCCCAGTCTTCACAAGACCACACTCACCTCCAGTCTTTCACAAGACCACACCCCAACCCCCAGTCATCACAAGACCACACTCACCTCCAGTCATCACAAGACCACACTCACCTCCAGTCATCACAAGCCCCACACTCACCTCCAGTCATCACAAGACCACACTCACCTCCAGTCATCACAAGACCACACTCACCTCCAGTCATCACAAGACCACACTCACCTCCAGTCATCACAAGACCACACTCACCTCCAGTCATCACAAGACCACACTCCCCTTCAGTCATCACAAGACCACACTCACCTCAGTCATCACAAGACCACACTCACCTCCAGTCTTCACAAGACCACACTCACCTCCATTTCATCACAAGACCCACTCACCTCCAGTCTTCACAAGACCACACTCACCTCCAGTCATCACAAGCCCAAACACTCACCTCCAGTCTTCACAAGACCACATCACCTCCAGTCATCACAAGACCACACTCACCCCCAGTCATCACAAGCCCACACTCACCTCCAGTCATCACAAGACCACACTCACCTCCAGTCATCACAAGACCAAAATCACCTCCGTTTCACAAGACCACACTCACCTCATTTCATCACAAGACCACACTCACCCCTCCCAGTCTTCACAAGACCACACTCACTCCAGTCATCACAAGACCACACTCACCTCCAGTCATCACAAGACCACACTCACCTCCAGTCATCACAAGACCACACTCCCCTCCAGTCATCACAAGACCACATTCACCTCCAGTCATCACAAGACCAAAACTCACTCCAGTCATCACAAGACCACACTCACCTCCAGTCATCACAAGACCACATTCACCTCCAGCTTCACAAGACCACACTCTCCCCCAGTCATCACAAGACCACACTCACTCCAGTCTTTCACAAGACCACACTCACCTCCAGTCATCACAAGACCACACTCACCTCCTGTCATCACAAGACCACACTCCCCTCCAGTCATCACAAGACCACATTCACCTCCAGTCATCACAAGACCACACTCACCTTCCAGTCATCACAAGACCACACTCACCTCCAGTCATCACAAGATCACACTCACCTCCAGTCTTCACAAGACCACTCACCTCCAGTCATCACAAGACCACATCACCTCAGTCATCACAAGACACACTCACCTCCAGTCATCACAAGCCCCACACTCACCTCCAGTCATAAACAAGACCACACTCACCTCCAGTCATCACAAGACCACACTCCCCTCCAGTCTTCACAAGACCACACTCACCTCCAGTCTTCACAAGACCCCCATCACCTCCAGTCATCACAAGACCACACTCACCTCCAGTCATCACAAGACCCCCACTCAACTCCAGTCATCACAAGCCCACACTCACCTCCAGTCATCACAAAGACCACACTCACCTCCAGTCATCACAAGACCACACTCCCCTCCAGTCATCCAAGACCACACTCACCTCCAGTCTTCACAAGACCACACTCACCTCCAGTCTTCACAAGACCACACTCACCCCCAGTCATCACAAGACCACACTCACCTCCAGTCTCACAAGACCACACTCACCTCCAGTCATCACAAGACCACACTCCCCCCAGTCATCACAAGACCACACTCACCCCGTCTTCACAAGACCAACTCACCTCCAGTCTTCACAAGACCACACTCACCTCCAGTCATCACAAGACCACACTCACCTCCAGTCATCACAAGACCACACTCACCTCCAGTCATCACAAGACCACACTCACCTCCAGTCATCACAAGACCACACTCACCTCCAGTCTTCAC